GGTCCGCTGCTTGTCTCATAATTATTTATACTATTCATATGGCTGGGGTATTCGTAGCCTTTTCATTAGTCAAATATCCCGTGGATACTTCCTAATATTAACTGTAAGCATGGTTTCTTTGTGGCTTATGCGTGTTTTAGGTTACAATTTTCAGTGTGATATAAAGCAGCTGGCTCATTCCTATGAAGATTTAGGGTGTTTCAAGCACTATGAAATGTTACTGGACATTCAGAATGTCTTTAAGGAGCCTCGTGGGGGTCTCTCTGGGCTTGCAAAGGTAACATAATACTGCATCTTTCTGAATGTCCGTGCTTATGATTCTTGATTTTTTCCTTATCCTTTTTCTCTTTTAATGGCGTTGACACTATATTCAGCTAAGAGCAATGTATTAATAACTACTGCTGTCAGAAAATACTAGGGGCTGGATTGAACAAGACAAGACGAAACAGTAACTGGGAACAACGTCCGTTGACTCGGAATCAGGTAAGTTGCTTCTCCATGACTCTGTAAACAAGTTCATTGTTGTCTTGTTGCTATGATTTGGTTGGAGAGATTGTTACTTGTTTTCATTGGAGCAGTATGGTGAGTTTTAGAGTTACTTGCATACAATTATTCCAAGGTTCTTTTTCTAAGATATTTCTTTTGAGGGATCTGGGATTTGCATTCTTTTTGTTTCTGCTTGTGCTGCATACTGAAAATAATGCATTGTAGTACGAATCGAAGTTCTGGTCTCCCAGTGTTTTTGAACAGTTTTATGATCTGAAATTATTTGCTTGATCTATGGAAAAAATGCGTCCATTTTGGCGTGCAATCAAATAAGCTGATGCTATATGCTCTTTCAGCTGGAATATGCTGCTCTTGATGCTGCTGTGCTTATTCCCATATTTTGTCATGTTCGTAATCGTTCTCAGACTGACGATGTCGAGGGACATGAAAAAATCGAGTGGAAGTCCTACATTGTAAGGGAAATTTTGTGATCTCTGTTTCCAAGTGATGCGTTTGCGCGTTCTTGTGTCTTGTGTTCTTCATCGATCTTTCTGTTAATTCTGTTTTTACCATATAGGTTTCACATATGGATAACCCCAAGAAGCCCAAAAGGCAAAGTGGAAGAGATCAGAAATTAGAAGCTGATAGAAAGTTGCACTGATGATCCAGTTGGTAGCATAGTAATTAGTATACTCCGCTGTAAATATATCTTTTTATTGGACGGTGATGAACAATGATATTTATGTGAATATTTTTCACTCACTAGGAGCAATGGAAATGACTGGCCTGCTGTTTCCCTAATGTTTTGAATCATTAACTAGTTTCCATTCCATTTCTTTTTTACCTTTTGCCACTGCCTTCCTATTTGGAAACTAAATCATTTATTTTTTTTCACTGCTGGGG